AGCCTGGGCGACAGAGCAAGACTCCTTCTCAAAAAAAAAAAAAAAAAAAAAAAATTGGAGATCTTATGCTATGTGATTTAAAGACAATGTGGTATTGGCATAAGGGTGGACATACTAATCAGGGTAACAGAATAGAGTCCAGACATAGATCCCATAGATACAGTCAATTGATTTTTTTATATTCTTGAGACAAGGTCTCTCTCTGTTGCCCAGGCTGCAGTGCAGTGGCCAGATCTTGGCTCACTGCCACCTGGACATACTGGGCTCAAATGATCTGCCCACCTAAGCCTCCTGAGTAGCTGGGACTACATGTGTGTGTCACCACATCTGGCAATTCTTAAAATTTTTTGTAGAGACAAAGTCTCCACGTACTGCCCAGGCTGGTTTCAAAATCCTGGGCTCAAGCGATCCACCTGCCTTGGCCTCCCCATGTGCTGGAATTACAGGTGTGAGCCACCACCCTCACTGAGTGTCAAAAATCACTCAGTGGATTTTTGACAACATTCTTAAGGTAATTCAATGGAGGTACAATAGTCTTTTAATAAATGGTGCTGGAGCAACTGGATGTATATATGTAAAAATACTAACCTTCATCCTTACTTCATATGACACAAAAATGAACTCAAAACAGATCATAGAATGTAAGAAGAACTATAAAAGCTTCTAGAAGAAAACATAGAAGATAATCTTAGGGTGCAAAAAGCATACATTGTAAAATAAAAAAAATTGCTAAATTGTGAATTCATCAAAATTTAAAACTCTCTGAAAGACATTATTAAGAAAATAAAAAGATAAGCCACACTGTGAGAAAAAACATTTGCAAATTAAAAAAAAAAAATTAAAAAAAATCCTTGCACAGGGTCATACTAACTTCTCTGTATTACAACTGTAGTATACATGTTTCTGAAGCAAGCACCACAAAACTTTTATCTGATAAAGGACTTACACTTAAAACAGGTGAATTTTACTATATATAAATGATATCTCAATAAAGCTGATTTAAAAATTTTAATGTGGCTGGGTATAGTGGTTCACACCTGTAATCGTAACACTTTGGGAGGCCAAGGTGGGCAGATCGCTTCAGCTCAGGAGTTTGAGACCAGCCTGGGCAACATGGCGAAACCCTGTCTCTACTAAAAATACAAAAATTAGCTGGGCATGGTGGCCGTACCTGTAGTCCCAGCTACTAGGGAGGTTGGAGTGGGAGGATCGCTCTAGCTGGGAGATGGAGGTTGCTGTGAGCGCACCGCTGCACTCCAGTCTGGGTGACAGAGTGAGACCCTGTCTCAAAACAAACACAAAACTTTAAAGTAGCTGGGCGTGGTAACTCATGCCTGTAATCCCAGCACTTTGGGAGGCCCAGGCAGGCAGATCACGAGGTCAAGAGATCGAGACCATCTTGGCTAACACGGTGAAACCCCGTCCCTACTAAAAATACAAAAATTAGCTGGACATGGTGGGTAGTGTGCCTGTAATCAGAGCTACTCAGGAGGCTGAGGCAAGAGAATCGCCTGAATCCAGGTGGCGGAGGTTGCAGTGAGCCTAGATCGCACCAGTGCACTCCAGCCTGGCAACACAGCAAAACTCCATCTCAAAAACAAAAACAAAAACAAAAACAAACCAGTAAATATTTTAGGCTTTGTGGGTAAAAGAGGTAAAATTGAAGCAATTATGTAGGTACATTTATAGGAAAACACACTTCCACAAATACCTTATTAATAAAATTCAAAATATAATAAGTAACTCAGTACAATTTTTTTGTAATACAGGTCTACTGACGAAAAAAATGGAACTCCCATTTTGGGGGGTAACATTTTGCTTAACTGGGGCTCAAAGTAAAAAGCCATTTTTCATGATTCTCTGAGGAGAATACATTGAAAAGCAACATAGACACTTAATTCTCTAGGATACATTCTATCTAAATTGCTTAACTCATCTTACCGGCCCCATGGATCCCTTAGCCCTTTTGCAGCCAGCTTCTTCTGGATATCTTCTAATGGTGTCCCTTCTATCTTCCATTGTCTATAATCTGGAAGTTCCATTTTATGGTGTCCATGTTCATGTCCATGTCCATGGGCCATGTCTATAAGGAAAATATTAACACAAGTGAGATATATGCAAATTGTAGATATCAAATACCCAAATTTATTGTTTATGTTTTAAGGTGAAGCATTTAATATTTAAAAAAAAAGCCAATATAAATACTTGTAAATTTCAGTTAAAAGATTTTATAAAAGTGTCTTATTCCACAACCACGTTCAGTTAGGAAATACACATACACAAAATATAAAAAAGAAAAATAATTGGCAATCCCACCACTCAGAGATAACCACTTACTATCTGGTTCTTTTCTTCATTATAACAATAGTAAACATTTATGGAGTCCTATGTGCCAGGTGTACTATGCTAAAATGCTTTATGTGTATTAACTCCATTACTTCTAAAACAACTCTTTGAACTTAAATTATGAGTTCCCCATTTTACAGATAAGGACAATGAGACTCCAAGCAGTTAAGTAACTTTCCAAAGGTAACAACAATAGTAATGGTACAGCTGGGATTAGAACCTTGCAGTTTAGTTTCAGAACCCTGCTCCTAACTTCTTCTTCTTATTATTACTTTTTTTTGAGACGGAGTCTTGCTCTGTCGCTCAGACTGGAATGCAGTGGTGGATCTCGGCTCACTGCAAGCTCTGCCTCCCGAGTTCACGCCATTCTCCTGCCTCAGCCTCCCGAGTAGCTGGGACTACAGGCGCCTGCCACCACGCCCGGCTAATTTTTTGTATTTTTAGTGAAGACAGGGTTTCACCGTGTTAGCCAGGATGGTCTCGATCTCCTGACCTCATGATCTGCCCACCTTGGCCTCCCAAAGTGTTGGGATTACAGGTGTGAGTCACCACGCCCGGCCTCCTGCTCCTAACTTCTAAGCAATATTGTTTTCCTTTCGAATCCTTTCATAATGCATAAATATATATAACAAAAAGGTTATACATACTGTTTTAAAAATTTTTCTTTAGATTATTCTTTTAAAATGCAGTAATGCTTTTAAATACATATGATTACATGAAGAGTTTCTTTAAAGAGACAGATAGTATTATTTTAGGCTTTGTGGGTAAAAGAGGTAAAATCGAGGCAATCATGTAGGTACACTTATAGGAAAACACACTTCCAGAAATACCTTATTGATAAAATTCAAAATATAATATGTAACTGAGTACAATTTTGTTGTAATACCGGTCTACTGACAAAAAAAATGGGACTCCCATTTTGGGGGGTAACATTTTGCTTAACTGGGGCTCAAAGTTAGTGATCCTTAGCATCAAAGTGACTACAAATGTTCATTTGTAAAAACCATTCTTAGCTCATGGACCTTACAAAAATAGGCACTGGGCTGGATTTGGTCCACAGGCTGCAGTTTGCCGATCCCTGAACTGGGCCAACAGAGACCTTAGGACTCCTTTTTAATCAATAAACTTGCTTCTTTAAATAAAACATGTCCTCAATGGTTATATAAATACTTCAGTTTTACTAGTGTTATTTAAATATATAATATAAAAATAAACCAGCTCAGTCTTCATTTAAATTGCTAATTCAAATTAATGGGTATGGTTTAATAACACTATACTATAATTTGTATAAGGTTGGCAGTAGCAATTCTTTTTTTTTTTTTAATTTTCCCAAATTCTCATTACTTGGCAAACAGTAGCAATTCTATAATCACTGCTTTTCCAGAAGTAAAATCAAGTAACTATTACCATTATGTCCATATTTATAACTATGAACAGGCCCAATAAGGTAGGATTTCTTTTTTTTTTTTTGAGACAGAGTTTTGCTCTTTTTGCCCAGGCTGGAGTGCAATGGTGCGATCTTGGCTCACAGCAACCTCCATCTCCCGCGTTCAAGCGATTCTCTTGCCTCAGCCTTCTGAGTAGCTGGGATTACAGGCATGCATCACCACGCCCGGCTAATTTTGTATTTTTAATAGAGACGGGGTTTCCCCATGTTGGTCAGGCTGGTCTCGAACTCCCGACTTCAGGTGATGTGACTGCCTCGGCCTCCCAAAGTGCTGGGACTATAGGCATGAGCCACTGCACCTGGCCTGGTAGGATTTCTTATATTGCATCTTACAAGATAGAGGTAATTATTAGAAAGTGTATATTAAAGACACATTATTGGGAGGCTGAGGGATGAGAATCGAGTGAACCCAGGAGGCAGAGGTTACGGTGAGCCAAGATGGTCCCATTGCACTCAGGCCTGGGCAACAGAGCGAGACTCTGTCTCAAAAAATAAATAGTTCCAAGATATGAGGAAAAACTTGTACATACTAACTGTGAAAAACCAACACTTACTATTTGTAAACATGTTAAGATACTAAAAAAACATTATGTTGATGATTTTCACATTTAATTTTATATATATATATATATATATATATATATATTTTTTTTTTTTAAAGATAGAGGGTCTTGCTCTGGATCATAGCTCACTGCAGCCTCAAACTCCTGGACTCAAGTGATTGTCCTGCCTCAGCCTCCTGAGTAGCTAGGACTACAGGAGCGTGCACAATGTCTGGCTAATTTTTAAATGTTTTATAGCGATGGAACCTCCCTATGTTGTCCAGGATGGTCTCAAACTCCTGGCCTCAAATGATCCTCGATCCTCTGGCATAGGCCTCCCAAAATGCTGGGATTACAGTGGGGTTACAACCATGCCCAGGAGGATTTTCACATTTAAATGAAAATGAAAATCAATACTCTCAAACACAAGTTAAAACTACAACACAACTCTGATTGAAACATTTAACCCATTATTACTTGGTAGATTCAACAAAATGAAGGAAAAAATTATGGTGTCAGATTTCAGACTGACTTTTGAGACTGAATACATTTATTACAAAAGAAGACCATTACGAGTGTTTATTTAGAATGATAATGTCTTGGTTTCTGCATACCATGTTTCCAAAAAATCTTTTTTTTTTTTTTTTTTTTTTTTTTTTTGAGACGGAGTCTCGCTCTGTGGCCCGGGCTGGAGTACAATGGCCGGATCTCAGCTCACTGCAAGCTCGGCCTCCGGGGTTTACGCCATTCTCCTGCCTCAGCCTCCCAAGTAACTGGGATTACAGGCGCCCGCCATCTCGCCCAGCTAGTTTTTTGTATTTTTTAGTAGAGACGGGGTTTCACCGTGTTCGCCAGGATGGTCTCGATCTCCTGACCTCGTGATTCGCCCGTCTCGGCCTCCCAAAGTGCTGGGATTACAGGCTTGAGCCACCGCGCCCGGCCCCAAAAAATCTTTTTTAAAATAAGGCTTCATTTTAAAAATGCTTAAAGAGATTACAAGACAAACCCTTATTTTGGCAAATGTCACTTCTAGAATATTAACCTGAGGATCAATGTATTTGGAAGAGAGTATAAAACAAAGGGTCAAGAATTTTGATAAAATAGTTTTTGAAAATAAAAGTTGAAACATTACCATGGTATAAAGACTATTTTGAAATTACAATACTACTGTGCTTAAACTATTAAGTAATTTGAAAGATAAATCTTTGAAAGAAAACATGAAAGTATACATACCCCTCATTTCTCCTATACAAATTTATTTATATATACATTCAATGTATTTTCTCTTCTACCTAATTATTTCAGAAGTATCCTTTTCATAGGAATTTACTAGATATAAATTTAAATGACTTTTCAAAAAGAGCAGAAAGTTGAAAACACTATCTCTAGGAAACCTTTCATTTTCTTTTTTCTTTTTCAGTTTTTTTTACAGACAGGATCTTCCTATGTTGCCCAGGCTGCTGTTGAACTCCTGGCCTCAAGCATTCCTCCCTCCTTGGCCTCCTAAAATATTGGGATTACAGGCGTGAGCCATGGCACCTGGCCCATTTTTCTTTTTAAACTTATTTCTATTTCCAAATAGCCATAAATCAATGATATCGTGATCATGTAAAGTAAGAGCTTGAAATTCTCCTACTTTGCACTAGTAAAAGTAAAATCCAAGGCAAATCGCTTAATTTCCCTGAACTTCAGTTTCTTCATATAACATGAGGATAAAACCTACCTTGCAAGATTGTTGAGAGCTGAGGAAAACACATTGTGATGTACCTTCTACTTTCACACTTAGGTGGTGAGAATGCAACTGAGCACAACCATTCTGAAAAACTGGCATGACCTAGAAAAGTTGAACATGGCCGGGCGCAGTGGCACATGCCTGTAATCCCAGCACTTTGGGAGGCTGAGGCAGGCGAATCACTTGAGGCCAGGAGTTGAGACCAGCCTGGCCAACATGGGGAAACCCCGTCTCTACTAAAAATACAAAAATTAGCCAGGTGTGGTGGCACACACCTGTAGTCCCAGCTACTCAGGAGGCTGAGGCAGGCTGAGGCAGGAGAATCACTTGAAACCAGGAGGTGGCGGTTGCAGTGAGCCAAGACTGCACCACCGCACTCCAGCCTGGGTGACAGAGTAAGACTCTATCTCAAAAAAAAAGAAAAAAGAAAAGCTGAACATACGAATACCTTATGGCCATCAATTCCACTCCTAGTACATATATTCTAGATAGACACCGTCCAATATGGTAGCCACTAGCACTTGAAATGTGGCTGGTACAATTGGGAACTGGGAATTTTAATTTAATTTTAATTAATTTAATCCCAAAACAGATGATCAAATTGTTATTAGAAAATACTAAAGTGTCTTTGGAGGCCAGGCGCAGTGGCTCACACCTGTAATCCCAGCACTTTGGGAGGCTGAGGCAGGTGGAACACCTGAGGTCAGGAGTTCAAGAAAAGCCTAACCAACATGGCAAAACCCCATCTCTACTAAAAATAAAAAAATTAGTTGGGCATGGTAGTGTATGCCAGTAGTTCCAGCTACTAGGGAGGGTGAGACAGGAGAATCACTTGAACCTGGGAGGTGAAGGTTGCACTGTGCTGAGATTGCACCACTGCACTCCAGCCTGGGCAACAGAGTGAGACTCTGTCTCAAAATAAATAAATAAATAAATAAAAATAAAAAAAATAAGTAAATAAAATAAAGTGTCTTTGGAACAATTTGGATATATGAATTTACTTTATCAACTGTAAATCTTATGATCACAGATCAAAGGTTTCCATTTATGGAATATAAAAAATATATTTAAAATATTTTCTTAGAGACATCAAGACTCCTCTCTCTAAAAAAACAAAAGAAAAATTTTTTTTTGAGATAGCCTCACTCTGTCACCAGGCTGGAGTGCAATGGGTGGTGTGATCTCGGCTCACTGCAACCTCCGCCTCCTGGGTTCTAGTGATTCTCCTGCCTCAGCCTCCCGAGTAGCTGGGATTACAGGCATGCACTACCACAACCGGCTAATTTTTTGTACTTTTAGTAGAGACAGGGTTTCACCATGTTGGTCAGGATGGTCTCGATCTCCAGACCTAATTATCCACCCAAAGTGTTGGATTACAGACGTAAGCCACCATGCCCAGCCTAAGAAAAATGTTTTTAAAAGAATCTTTATAGCCACATTGTTTATTCTATCTCCCAACTGTAAACCCAAATGTCCAATTACAACAGAAGCGATTATGGTATAGTCACACTATATATTATACAACCAAAAACTACATGCAAAAGTATGATTGAATCTTCACAAATATAATAATGAGCAAGGGGTGAGTCAGAAAAAAAATACACATGCACTCGGATCCCATTTATGTAAATTGAAACGCCTAACAATTCATTTTTTAGGAATTCATCATAGATGGAAAAATTAAAGTAAAACAAGTGAGTGCTTAGCACAAGTCAGGATAATGGTTACCTCTTGGTGGAGGAGATGGAATCACAGAAACATACAGGCAGCTTCTAAGGCAGTGTTTTTCAACCAATTTTTAATTATTGTCCCTGTAAGGAACCTTTCTAGACATTTTATTCCTAATCACGACCCTCCCACCATGAAAATTTAACACTACATACACACTATATATGTTTATATACTGTGGCCCTTTGGAGGGACACAACTCATTGTAGTAACTAAGACCTACTACCCCAGCCCCACCAATTTTCACCCCCCTGAAATGCAAAATCACCCCTGTTAAGAATGCATGTTCTAAGGTATTGGCAATGCTTTATTTTCTAATTTAAGAGGTGGTTACGGGAGTGTCTGCTTCTGTTAGTTATAATTTTAAAAAATGTATGTTTTATACACCCTTCTGTATGTATACTTGACAATAAAAAATAAAATTAGAAAAATTGACTTAAATTGTGCTGAGGACTGAAAAATGGTGGTTATTTCCGTTTCAGAGCAGCTCAAATAACAGTAAGTAAATTAATTAAATAAAGAAAAAAAATGCAACCAAAAATTTAAAAAGCTATCTATCTGTGTCTGAAGTGAATCTAAAAGTCTGATGAAGATCAACTTCCACTAAAGGAAGCTGGCTCTAAGAAGATGTGTGCTGGTATCCTTTCCCTAAGAAAGAAATAAGAAGATAATGCCACTTCCACTACGTGCAATTTTAGTTTACCGAAGACTATCAAGTATATATCTTAACTTCCTCGTATTTAAAAAACTGTGATTATATGAATATTAGGAAATAACAAATGAACTGTTTTACTTTTAGTGATGCTGTTCTTCTGCCTTTGTTCTATTCAAAGCCAAAAACAATTTTGCGTGTGGCAAAGACGGGAAAAAGCACTTCTATGTAACAACTACAGTAATGCTCACTGAATCCTCCAACCACCCCTTCCTACCTCAACTTAAACTTAGACTTCATTAGTTCTCGCCTGCTAGTTCTTTGATCTCCCTTCCAGCCTCCCATCCTTCTCCATTTATTTAGTCTCTCCTTTTCTACACTCCCCAGAATAGAATCTAGCTCTTAATCCTAATCAACGGGTCTCCCACCAACTCCCTAATTTACCTGAATTCAATCTGACCTCTCAGGACACTCAACTCTGCAACCGGAACCAACCGGAAGCGGAGGTTGTCACCTCGAGTTTCTCACGGCAGGAAAGCGGAGAAGCCGCTTAACGTTCCGGTACTGGGTTAGAGATTCCTAAATCAGGAAGAGATTACATGAAGGAGGCTGGAAGTCGATTATCTTCCCCACATATGTGCATCTTCAATCTGACTGAGGTAACAGATACTGTAGAAGAGAAAAGGGCGGGGAAGAGAACATGTTCTTCTTGCTTGGGGACGGAACCCTTAGACACCGCACAGAGGGCAGGGCCGCGGACATACTGCAGCCAATCAGGGAGGCTGTTGTTGAGCGCGTGCTCTCACCCAATGAAAGGGTTGGTTGTTGCGCTGCAGTTGGCAGGCTGCTGCGGGAGGCGGTGGCAGTAGGAAGCCGGAGACAGCAGGGTGACAGGTAGGCGGTGGTGCTGTCTTTGGGGGACGCAAAGTGCTAGGTGAAGAGGGTTTTTCTTCTCCTTCGGCCGCGGAAACTACAGAGGGTAGCTGGCGAGGGTGGTCTGGAAAGGCGGTAGCTGGTGTGTTGGTGGTCCCAGAACCTCTCGTAAACCAGGTAACATCTTGGAAGGGTCCTGAGGAAGAGAAGGCTGCAGCCGAGGCGGGTGGAAGCCGAGCCCTGTGGGGCGACGTGGGGGCCCACCTAGGGCGTGGGGGCTGCGCTGGCGCCAGCAGAGAGGGAGGAGAGAGGCGGGAGCAAGGCGGTGTAGTGAGGGCTGAAGGGATTCCTTGCACAAAGCCCTAGGCGAGAAAAGGACACGGCATTGAAGACAGCTAAGAGAAATCCCAGTGATTGCTTCTTAGGGCTATTTCCTGGGGGTGGTGAGGGGGAGCGGAGAAGAAAAATATTTACGGGCGGTGAGATCCTGAAAACTCATTATTGCTGTACATTATGTAATCTTTGGCTGTTATTTACCCAAACAACTAGGTTGCCCCTCCTGGGAGAGAAGGTCTTTCAACCTATTAATGTATTAGAACACTTTTTTCTTTGGCTTGAGTGTCTTTTACCTTGGCAGGTTCTGTAGGCGAAGGGTGGTAGCATGGAGGATAGAGTAGTCACGAAGAGCTTATCCCAAATATGGACTTGACTTGACAGATGCTAGGTTGCGATGAATGTGGTTCATGTTTTGTAGTTTGCAGGTTCATGTTTTGTAGTTTGTGAATTTATTTGAGGGTCAAGGCTGACAACATTTAAAAAAATCTTCAGGAAAGTGGGGATCCTTAAAAAATTTACAGTGGGAGCTAAGTGTAAGTTGGAAAATGAGTAGAAAATTAGTTGGCAGATCCCTTCCTCCCCCCAGGATATTGTGGAAGTTAGCAACTGTGCAAATAAGGTGGTGGTCTGAATTTGGGCAAAAAAGTCAATTTTTTTTTTTTTTTTTTTAGACGGAGTTTCGCTCTTGTTGCCCAGGCTGGAGTGCAATGGCGCGATCTCGGCTCACAGCAACCTCCGCCTCCCGAATTCAAGCCATTCTCCTGCCTCAGCCTCCGAAGTAGCTGGGATTACAGGCATGCGCCACCACGCCCGGCTAATTTTGTATTTTTAGTAGAGACGGGGTTTCTCCATGTTGGTCAGGCTGGTCTCGAATTCCGGACCTCAGGTGATCCGCCTGCCTCGGCCTCCCAAAGTGCTGGGATTACAGGCGTGAGCCACCGCGCTTGGCTGAAAAAAGTCAACTTTTAAGTAGTTTGTTCTGTAAACAAGTCTGATAAGCTAGTTATGAATTATTAGGTTTAAAAAGTGGACTCTGAACCTCTCGGGCAGAGGCAAAATATATTTATAGATATAATTAACTAAATTATCTTATTTTTAAAAAGTTTTATAATTCATTGTTTCTACAATACACTGTAGAATTAAAATAGGAATTCTATTCAGTATGTGTTATGGAAGGGCAAACGACATAAAAACTTGATTTTATAGCTCATTGAAAAACAATTTTCAAAGAAGCACTGGAAAATAATTTTAAAGGAAGCGTTATAAATTTCTAAAATGTAAGGTGTTTGAAATATTGTCTTTAGCTTAGGAGATAAGGTCTAATGTAGTATCAGCAACTCTATAATTTTCCTAAATTTATTTCAGTAGTGCATATCAGAAAAACTTTATAAGATGTGATTTTTTTCTATTAATGATAATTTATATTCCTGTATATGAACCTAAGTCAAAATTTCGGTTTTTTCTCAAAATTTTAATTGGGAAAGAGGTGCATCATTAAAGTTTGTTTGTTCCCAGATGTTCTCAGTACTGAAATATTTGAGAATGCTTTAGATAAAAATTTTAATTGACGTTTGGTGTTTTGTTCTTTGACTTTTCTCTTTTTCCAAGAATAATGCAATCTCAGTCACAAAGGAAATTTCTGGTTCTATTTTAGGTGCAATTCTGTAGTGTTTTGAGTACCAGTTAAATCTTGGCTTTTATGCGTGTGTGTGTGTGTGTGTGTGTGTGTGTGTGTGTGTTTCTTATGTAACCAGCCTACTAGAGCTGTCTTAGAGAACTAATGGCTGATTTTGAATGGCCAGTAGGTGTCATTGTAGAATGCAGTAAGTTGAGCATCGAGTAGGAAATTAACAAGTAGTTAAAGAAACACTAGTCCAAATTAGCATATAGTGTGGTTAGATGGTTATTTATACGTTATAGAAGTTCTCTCTTATGAAACATTTCAGTATTGGAGCTGTTTATAAGGAATTTGAAACAATGATTGTAAAGGAGTTTGTTTGCCATAAAATAGACCTTGAAAGTGTGTTTTTTAGCCCAGCCCTTAAACTATCTTGACATGTGATTCAGATTTAAGTTTGATTATTTGTAATACACAGTTTTGGCGTCGTGTAATAGTTTATTAAGTTCTAGAATGATTGAGATTTTCAGCTTGAATCTTATAGAAAAACCAATGCTACATAATGAAAAACTGATAAAATATGGGCAGAAGTTTCAAAACTAGTTATCACAATCGTACTTTGTATTGTTCTTTTTTTTCCCCCTTAGAGATCCTTGTTCCGAGTTACTGTTCTTTTAAAGCCAGAACAGCAGATTTTTTTGTCTGTCATTGTCTGTGGCTTCTTATTTCTTTTGATTTCCAGAGTTGTTTCTTTTTACATTTTTATCTGCTTAGACTATGTGCTTTTCTCGGGATGTTGAACTGAACATTTATCACTGACTAAAATGTAGTGGATTCTGGAGGGAGCCAGCACAGAAAGCTCTGAAAGTACCTTACATCTGTTCCGAGTACAGCTCCTTACCTTTCTAGCCTTCTGTTGAGCCCTTGTCACTTGTTAGCTCTGCTCCTCAAGCCTGTGATTGATACAGTGTTTTTAAAAAGTTTGGAACTAATTTAAGAATTCTTCATGGAGTTGGAAATAGATACCTCAAAACAATTTAGGAGTTTTTAAAAAGGCATACACATATCACTTATATCATCTCCACTTCCCTTCAGAATCTTACAGATGAGAGGAGTGTGAAGGGGGTAGATGTATTTTGGAAACAAATTCCCTTGATTATTTGATTCACCACTGGTTTCCACTTCAGAGTGGAAGTGCCTTGATCTAATTCAAAGACTCTGACACTTGTGGTATGAAGCAGTAGTAGTTTCAGTTTAGAGAAAGGGCTGCCAAATCTACTAATTTGCTAGTATTTTTATAGCTCAATAAATTGTCATTTCATGTCATAGCTAGGATAGCTTTTTTTTCTTTCTTTTTTTTTTTTTTTTTTTTTGAGACAGAGTTTCGCTCTTGTTGCCCTGGCTGGAGTGCAGTGGCACGATCTTGGCTCACAGCAACCTCCGCCTCCCAGGTTCAAGCCATTCTCCTGCCTCAGCCTCCGAAGTAGCTGGAATTACAGGCATGTGCCACCACGCCCGGCTAATTTTGTATTTTTTTAGTAGAGACAGGGTTTCTATTAGTTGGTCAGGCTGGTCTTGAACTCCCGACCTCAGGTGATCCACCTGCCTCTGCCTCCCAAAGTGCTGGGATTACAGGCGTGAGCCACCGCACCCAGCCTGTCATAGCTAGGATAGTTTTTCTAGCCAGGAGCTGGAGTTGCGAGAAATGAAAATTGTGCTGAATGTTTTGGTTTGGATTAGTTCTTACTTGGCACTTATCTGCTTTCCATAAATCAAACTAATTTCTTTCATGATTCAGACCTGTGCTAATTTGTATAGACATTTATATCCTATTCTCTTACTGTCCCTGAAAGCTATCTAGTTCTAGAATTAAACTAAAATTGGAAAATAAGAGTTGGAGTAATTCAAGGTCGTTTTCTGATAATGATATATGATGAACATATGCGTTAGTCTTTGCATAAACATTCCACTCAGTAATATATACTAAAAATTGGCATTGCAAATGTGTTTACCTTGACTTGGGTCCAGTTTAGAAACTTACAGTTCATCTTTGTGAATTCTAGACTTTCTGTTTGGGTATCTGGCTGCCATGGAGACAAATCTGAGGAAAAGTATGAGTAGACTTTAATCTTAGAGAAAAGCGTAAAAACCCAATTATGTAATATATTAAGAGGTGTGACTTTGATTATTTATAGAATTATAGTACTTTCTAGGTTTGAAATACAACTGCCAAAAAAGTAGTCATAAAATATGGTAAATGGCATCAATTTATTGAATGGCAAAGCATGGGTTACAGAATATCTATTTTGTCCTATTTTAACACATGAAACTTCAAAAAGTGTTAGAATCCAATTTGTCCATCACCTTTGTCATTATGAATACTTAACTGTTGATAGTGCTTGATTCTTTTTTTTTTCTGGTGAAAAGATACTAAGGTATATACTTAGAATTAGCCAGCCGAACTCAGTTTAGATGATCCCAATTTTGTTGGCAACCTCCAAAGCATCATAATCAGGAGCCAGTCAAACATATGCCTTCTTCTCTTCATCAAGTCTGATTAGGGTCTTGACCTTGGCCTTATCGATGGTAAAGAGCTTCTTTATAGCCTATTTGACCTGGTGCCTGTTGACTTTAACATCCACAGTGAACACAAGTATGTTGTTGTCTTGTATCTTCTTCATGGTAGCCTCCGTGATCAGCAGGAACCTGATGATGGCATAGTGGTGAAGCTTCTTTCTCCTTGTATCCTGCTATCTTACAAGGATATTTGGGCTACCTCTGGGGCTGCCTTGGGCCACTGGGACATGGGTGACTTGTGGATCTTCTTTTTTTGTGTATGTGGTTGTGGACACCTTTCAGCACTGCTTTCTTGGCCTTCAAAGCCTTTGCTTCGGCTTCTGCTTTAAGAGGGGGTAGGAGCTTCCTTCTTCGCCTTTGGCACTATCTTGTGAAAAGAGTCTCCCTGATTCTTAATTAATATAGACTTTTGTTAGCTACTAAGACTTGCCAATTAACCTCCTTAAATTCCTTTCCACATATATATACACACACATACATATATACATATATATATATATATATGGATGAGAGAGACAAGTTAGATACTGAGCAGGGACTGAAAGTTATACTTTTTCCATATTCTTTTCTATTGAGGCTTTTTAATCTGTGCATTCATTCTTTTTAAAATTTATTTATTAGTTTATACTTTTTAAATGAAAAAGGGTCTGGGGATGGGAGAGAATATACTACTGTCCTGTCTACATTATAGGGTAACTGTAAGACTCAAATAGAAAACATAATGGCTGGGCACAGTGGCTTATGCCTGTAATCCCAGCATCTTGGGAGGCCGAGGTGGGTAGATCACTTGAGGTCAGGATTTCAAGATCAGCCTGGCCAACATGGTGAAACCCTGTCTTTACTAAAAATACAAAAGTTAGCTGGGCATGGTGGTGCACACCTGTAGTGCCAGCTACTCGAGTGGCTGAGGCAGGAAATTTGCTTGAACCTAGGAAGTGGAGGTTGCAGTGAGCCAAGATTGTGCCACTGCACTCCAGCCTGGGTGATGAAGTGAGACTGTGTCTCCAAAAAAAAAAAAAAAAAAAAAAAAAAAAAGGCAAGAAAACATGAAGGACTTTTAAAAAATCTAAAGTTAATTTGAATTTGCAGTATTTTACAGTATCTACTGTTTATGGAAAATACTAGGGGAAATGAATATAAAATTTAAGACTTAAATGTTTCTGTTCCTTAAGGTTCTGAATCTTCTCTCATTTTATACTTTGTTACTCTGATCTTTTTTATTTAATTAGCATCCAAATATGATGGTTCTCAAATCTGTGTCTCTAATCCAGAGCTTTCCCTTGAACTTTAGTTCCTATTCTATACATGTAATTGCCTGCTGGATGAAGATGATCTACAGGTCCTTCAAATATAATATGTTTAAAAGTGAATTCATGTTTTCCCTTTTATCGTCTTTCTAACCTGCTGGAGCTGGAACCCTGATGTTGTCTATCTTTAACACTTACCCCTCATCTGAGCAATGCTAGATTCTGTTGACTTTACCTTCTTACTCTTTTTTTGATTCCATGTACTTCTCTCAATTTCTATAGCGGCTAGAAATATTATGGAGAGTTAGGGCCTGGAGGCAACTGTCTAGATTAGAATCCCAGCTCCACTATTTACATCTCAGTGTCCTTATCTTTAGAAATAAAGTTATACAAGCCAACAATTGCAGTCTTGGGCATTTGTTCGAGAGAAACTGAAACTTACATTCATATAAAAATTTGTGTGAATTCTCATAGCATCTTTATTCCTAATAGCCAAAAACTGGAAACATAAATGTTCTTCAACAGGTTAAATAGACTATAGTGCATCTGTATCATGGACTGCTATGCAGCAATAAAAAGGAATGGACTGTTTGATATGTAACAACTTGAATGGGTCTCAAGTGAAAAAAATGTGAAAATTGCATATTCCATGATTCCATTTATATAACATTCTTGAATACTAAAAATAAAGAGATGGAGAACAGATTCGTGGTTGCCATGGTTTAGTTATCAAGGAGAGGGGAGTGGGTGGGACTACAAGAGTGTCTTGGTGACAGAACAGTTCTGTATCTTGATTGTGGTGGTAATTACATGAGTCTACATATGTGATAAAATTGCATAGAGCTATACACACACATACACATGAGTGCTTGTAAAACTGGTTAGATCTGAATAAACTTTGTAGACTGTAGCAATGTCAATTTCCTGGTCTTGATATTTTACTGTAGTTATTCAAGGTGTTCCCATTGAGGGAAAATGGGCAAAGGGTACATGAGACCTGCTGGCAATTTTTTTTCAACTTCCCATGAGTCTATAATTTCAAAATTAAAAGTTTTTAAGAAGAGTTGTTAGGATTAAATGAGCAGATACACAGAATATTTTTATTATAGTACTTGGTGCACAATAAATATTAGCTGCTATTAATAGTAATAGCAGCAGTAGTAGTTGTTCAGGCCTCTAACCTCTCACTGGGCGGCTCACTAGGACCATTTCAACAGTTGCCATATATATATATAAATTATATATATAAATCTAATTAATATATTTAATAATTATTATCGTATTTGGAGACAAGGTCTCACTCTGTTGCCCAGGCTGGAGTGCAGTGGTGCAATTACAGCTCACTGCAGCCTCTACCTCCTGAACTCAGGTGATCTTCCCATCTCTGCCTCTTGAGTAGCTGGGATCACAGGTGCTTGCTACCACGCCTGCAGGGTAGTTGGCAAGCTGGAGACTCAGAAGAGCTGATGGTATAGTTCCAGTCAGACACAGTCCAAATGCCTGAGAACCAGAGATAACATAGTAGCAGTCACTCAGGCTTGAGACTCTGAAGAGCTAATGTTTCAGTTTGAGTTTGAAGGCAGGAGAAAGTCAATGTCCTTAGGCAGAAGAAACTGACTCTCTCTACTTGGGGGAGGCTTAGCCTTTTTGTCTATTCAGGCTTTCCACTGATTAAATGACATCCACCCACATTAGGAAGGGCAATCTGCTTTACTCAGTCTATAGATTTAAATGTTAATCTCATATGGAAACACCTAGAAAAATGTTTAGCTAAATATCTGGGCAGATGAGATTGGAAACATTTTTATCCAGGGTAGAATGGAAGCTCTCTGACCAGAAAAAAGTGTCATGACATAGTGATAAGAAACAAATGTAATTTGATATGAAAATTTCTGTGATTTCTCTTTTTTTCTTGAGATGAAGTCTGGCCCTGTTTCCCAGGCTGGAGTGCAATGGTGCGATCTCAGATTACTGCAACCTCCACCTCCCAGGTTCAAGTGATTCTCATGCTTCAGCTTCCTGGGTAGCTGGGACTACAGGCATGCGCCACGACGCCTGGCTAATTTTTGTATTTTTAGTAGAGGCGGGGTTTCACCATGTTGGCCAGGGTGGTCTCCTGACCTCAAGTGATCCACCCGTGTTGGCTTCCCAAAGTACTGGAATTATAGGCGTGAGCCATCGTGCCTGGCCTAATACCTGTGATTTCTATTGGTGACCAAATCGTAAAAATATTATGGTTGTTTGTTTTATTGTTTTGCCCATACTCACAATCTAATGACATTATAAATTTTAGTTAGAGATTGGTAAAAAGAGTGATACAATTTTCTTCTTATCAAAGTTTATGAGTTTTATTATAGATCCCTGGGGGTCTGTGGACCCTATGTTGAGAACTGCTGTGTGAACAGGAAGGAGAGGGCTTTGAATTGATGCAGGATTGTATGCTATGCAAAAGCTTCATAGAGGAGGCAACTGTTGGTCTGAGTGTTGGAAGAAGAGGAGGGCAGTTAGGATAGAGGGTAGTTGAAAGGCATTCCAGAGAGGAGTGTAGCATAAGAAAATGTGTGAGGTGTGAGATAGCCTGGAATATTGTGAAATTGTAGATCAACATTGATGAGGGGAAGTCTGTGTTGAGCCAGGGTATAATTTCTATTCTTGCTGACAAGACCATTTTGTTCATGAGTCTGTTGAGCAAATACTGTTTACAAAGGCCATTTAGCCAAACCAATAGATCCATGTCTTCGGTTTCTTCAGGTATAGTGAACAAAGAGATACTGTTTGAAGTTCTGCCTACTGGGAATTCCCTTTCTCCTGTCTTGTAGGGCTACTTCTCTGTAAGGCCACTGCCAGCATATTGTATGCAACCATGTGTAAACCAGGTCTAAGTTTTTTTTTTCTTCTTTCATTTGATCTTAGGGAACTCTACAGGGCCATAGATTAAGGAAGAGTTGATTAGTAGAAGTAAGTGACATGGGTGTCTGAGCCGTTTGTTCTTTTAGCTTACTTGTGCTTTTGGAGCCTGCTCTAACCTCATTACAACCATTGTAGTCAGGATTAGTTGGTTATGTAGTGGTAATAACCAACCTTCAAATAAAGGCTTAAAATGTGAAAAAGAGAGATTTATTTCTTCTCATGTAAAATCTGCTGCAAGTTGGGTGATTCCAGGCAGCTGTTCTTCATTTGATGGGTCAGCATTGTGTATCTATATTTATCTCTGCTTCTGTTATCATAGTGACAAGAGAAGAACGGGCTGGAGAATTGCGTACTGGCACATAAATGTTTCTGCAGAAATGATTTCTGCTCTTTGGTAAAAAAAAAAAAAGTCGTAAGGTCACATTTGACTTAAAGAGGATAGAAAAATATAGTCCTCCCATGTTCCCTTGAAAGTTCACATTTGACACATGATATCACTTCCATTTAATGATGGAACACTGCCAGCACGTATAGCTTTATGGCTTGGTGGATTGGAACACTCACTTCTTGAGAGTATGTCAGGTCACATGGTCAGTCACTGCTGGGGCTCAAAAGTCAAGCAAGGAGCTATTTCTCAAAAGAAGAGCAGTCATCTGCAGAGAGGGCATAACTCTCTTCAGAAGCAGTAGTTCTCATCCAGGGGACACTTGACAATGTTTAGAGACATTTTGCTGGTCACAATTCAGGGCAGTGCTATTGGCATCTAGTAGGAAGAGGGCAGGGATGCTGCTAAACATCCTATCACGTAAAAGCCATTCACAATGTCAAGGGTGACTAAAGTGCCAATAGTGCCAAGGTTAAGAAATCCTGCTTTAGATGGACTTCTGTGCCTTGTTGTGATTCTCCTATTAGGGCCTACTGGTAGCTTTATACAGCTACTTTATCATCTACCACAGACACTTTGAATACCACTGAATTTGCTGGATCTTAAGGCCCAAATGGCAGAACATCTTTTTTTTTTTTTGAGATGGAGTTTCGCTCTTGTTACCCAGACTGGAGTGCAATGGTGTGGTCTCTGCTCACCACAACCTCCGCCTCCCGGATTCAAGCAATTCTCCTGCCTCAGCCTCCCGAGTAGCTGGGACTACAGGCGCCTGCCACCTCGCCCGGCTAGTTTTTTGTATTTTTTAGTAGAGACGGGGTTTCACCGTGTTAGCCAGAATGGTCTTGATCTCCTGACCTCGTGATCCACCTGTCTCAGCCTCCCAAAGTGTTGGGATTACAGGCTTGAGCCACCGCACCTGGCCTCTTTATTTTATTTTAATTTTAGAGATAGGGTCTTTCTATGTTGCCCAAGCTGGTCTCGAACTACTGGCCTCAAGTAATCCTCCCACATCAGCCACCCGAGTAGTTAGGATTACAGGCATAAGCCACTGCTTCCAGCACTGTGCTTCTTTCTAAGTGTTGGTGGCAGACTGAGCTATGATAACTTGTCCTTCATTTTTATTTTTATGTTTTTTTTTAGAGACAGGGTTTCACTCGGTCACCCATGCTGGGGTGCAGTGGCATGATCGTAGCTCACTGTAACCTCAAACTCTGAGCTCAAGTGTTCCTCTCACCTCAGTCCTGGAGTAGCTGGAACTATAGGTGCACACTACCATGGCCGGTTAATTTTTGTATTTTTTATAGAGACAGGGTTTTGCCATGTTGCCTAGACTGGTCTCAAACTCCTAGGCTCAAATAATCTGCTTTCCTTGGCCTCCCGAAGGGCTGGGATTACAGGTGTGAGCCCCTACGCCTAGCTTAGAGTTTTAGTGTTTTTTTTTTTCTCCGCTCTTGTTGCCCAGGCTGGAGTGCAATGGTGCGATCTTGGCTCACCGTGAGTTTTAGTTTTACAAAATGAAAAGAGTATGGTGATGGTTGGGCAACATTATGAATATATTTAATACCACTGAAATGTACATTAAAAATGGTTAAGATGGTAAATTTTTTGTTAAGTGTGTTTTACCACAATAAAAAAAAATTGGGAAAAAACACAAAAGAAAACACAAAAGAAAAAAAGATGCCAATATTTCAAATATTTTTGCCTTTAGGAAGAACTTATTATGAACTATGTCAGTTAATTAAGTAAAGTTTAAACCAACATTTATTTATTCAGTATTTGAAAGGTTTATTCTAAAATTCAACATAGGCCAGGTGCAGTGGCTCATGCCTGTAATCCCAGCACTTTGGGAGGCCAAGTCAGGAGGATTGCTTGATGCCCGGAGTTCAAGACCAGCCTGGGCAACACAGCAAGAACTCATCTCTGAAAATTAAAATTAAAATAAAATAAAAAAAATTCCACATATTTTCTTGGAATTTATTTTTCTACTTTAATTTTGTGCCTACATACCTAAACAGGTTGTATATCCAACATGTTTTTAGGTTCTTCAGAGTTGGATACTACTTTTTATGGGGGAAAAATTTTTTTTACTAGAAACACAAGGAATGGATCCTTTCCTCTCTCTACCCCTATGTCACTTAATTGGGAGTAAATTGTATTTAAGATATGCCCAAGCTTTAGCACCCATAGTGTAGTCTTTACAGTATTGTTTCCTACTGAAAGGAGTTCCTTGGAGAAATGTCTGATTCTAGGCTGAAGGCAGGATTTGTGCAAGGTAAGGCTGGAACTTCTTGTCCTAGCAGGAAGCTAGGAGGTTATCTTCATTAACTAGGTTTATGTCAAAAGGGCTTAGGAGCTTTGTAGAGGGTCCCTCAAGACCATTTCCACATTTCATGATTTCCAAGATTGACTCTTAGAACTCAATATTTTATTCACAGTTATAGTTTATTACAATGAGATGATACAAGGCAAATCAGCAAAGCAAAAGGCAAATGGAATGAAGTCTGGAAGAAACCAAGCTCAAGCTTGCAAGAATCCTCTCCCAGTAGAGTTGCAAAAGATGCCATTAATTTTCCAGTAGTGACTTGTGTGCAGGGCCTCAGGTTAGCCCCTAATGAGATTTTAAGGGCTTCTCAGACTATTCCTGAGCATGCATATAGCTCTGAGTACACATCCCTTTGCATGAATATGACCTTCTGGATTCCCGGGAAGTTGTTGGAGCTTTTCAGAGTCCTTTTTGGACATCTCATTCCCCAGCTTCTCTTTTCTGGGTTTTTTGTTTGTTTTTGAGGTAGGGTCTCACTCTGTTGCCTAGGCTGGAGGGCAGTGGTGTGATCTTGGCTCACCGCAACTTCCTGCTTCCGGGTTTAAGCAGTTCTCCTGCCTCAGGCTCCTGAATAGCTGGTACTATAGGTGTGTGCCACCATGTCCAGCTAATTTTTGTGTTTTTAGTAGAGGTGGGGTTTCACCATGTTGACCAGACTGGTCTCGAACTCCTGATCGCAAGTCATCCACCAGCCTTGGCCTCCCAAAGTGCACAGGCATGAGCCACCGTGCCTGGCTCCCAGCTTTTCTTTTTAGGCTTTTTGACTGGCCTGTTGTTTGCCCTAACTGTATCCACTGCCTTAGGCAGCCGAGATATTAAATAACTGCTCCTGTTTTAGACAAATACCCCTAGGGAAAAGACTTTGCACTGGTTGATCTTCAAGTCAAATTAAAGACGTCCTTGCAAATGGGGTCTGTATTAGTCCATTTTCACACTGCTGATAAAGACATACCCGAGACTGGGAAGAAAAATAGGTTTAATGGATTTACAGTTCCTCATGGCTGGGGAAGCCTCACAATCATGGCAGAAAGCAAGGAGAAGCAAGTCACATCTTACATGGATAGCAGCAGGCAAAGGGAGAGCTTGTGCAGGGAAATTCCCATTTTTAAAACCATCCGATCTCATGAGACTCATTCATGAGAACAGAGCAGGTATGATCCACCCCATAATTTAATCATCTCCCACGACATGTGGGAATTGTGGGAGTTACAATTCAAGATGAGATTTGGGTGGGGACATAGCCGAACCATATCAGGGTCTTCCAGGAACTATCAGACGGGTCAAATAATTAGTTTTTCAAGAATGAGGCTTTGAAGGCATTGCAGACCATTCTGTCACCTTTAGTGGCTGCCAGTCTGCTGGCTCTTAGTGTGATTGTGGGCTTTTTGTTTTCAAGACTACTGTGGAGCTGGGGAGGTGGAATGGGAATAGGGCAAGTTAAAGCTCCTTGACGGCTGGGCACAGTGGGTACATCCTGTAGTCTCAGCTACTTAGAGATTCAGCTACTTTTCTTGAATAAACACTTCCCAGATTGCGTTAACCTTTTGCCTAATTTCCAAAGTTCTGAAAAAGTTCATTCTGACACTTTTTACCAGTGTCTTGTTGCTTTTATGGAGGAGAGGATTTTCTGAGGTCATTACTCTGCCATGACCCCAATAACACTTAGGTGAATAGGGATCTTTTCTTGCTTCCCTGTACATCTAGTGACTACCTGCTTTGTCTAGCCACTGAAATAGGGACTGTGGATTTAGTGGTGAATAAGAAGACAACCTCCTATGTGTTTATGTATTCCAGTAGGAGAAAATAGGCAGTAAACAAGTACTAGTAAATGTGGAGAATAGTAAAGCAGATCATGGGATAGAGAGTGATTGTGATTGGTGATGGGTAGTGGGTTTTTTTTTTTTTTTGGATTGAGCAGAGACCTGGATGAAGTAAGAAGGAAACCAATGCGTGCAGCTGGGCAGCAAAGGGAATAGAAGCACAAAGCCTCTTAGGCAAGAACGAGTTTGGCATGTTCAAGAAACATTAAGAAAGCCCATGTAGCTAGAGCAGGCAGATATCCAAAAAAGGACGAAGATAATTGACATCACTAAATTTATATGGATAATTTAAAAGTATTGATATCCAGGACCTATAAGTGGACAACTATGATTTTTGTTAGATCACTGTTTTCATTACTTTCTTCAGTAGGCTAACTCCCCTGCAGCCTGGGGACCAGGAAGGGATGCTGCATTGAGTTCTAATGCTAATACAAACCTGTGTCATTTTGAACTAAGAGCTGGTTTCTAGTTCCTGGCATTTAGTGTCTCTCAGAATGTCTTGGTAGGGACTCAGTTAATAAGATCTGTTTTGAAAATTATCTAGTGATGAACACTTTTTAATGTCCTTTATAGTAGATTTATGAATGATTTTCAACTCCCCTCTTTAACATATGTATTTGTTACCCTTTATTGTATAGCCCCAAAATTTAGTAGCTTAACATGACAACTATTTTATTTGCTCACAATTCTATGGGTCAGCGGCACGATCTTGGCTCACTGCAGCCTCTGCCTCCTGGGTTCAAATGATTCTCCTTCTTCAGCCTTCTGAGTAGCTGGGATTACAGGTGCCCGCCACCATGCCTGGCTATTTTTTTTGTATTTTTAGTAGAGACGAGGTTTCACCATGTTAGTCAGGATGGTCTCGATCTCCTGACCTCATGATTCACCTGCCTTGGCCTCCCAAAGTGCTGGGATTACAGGCATGAGCCACTGCGCCTGGCTTGGGCAGTTCTTTTTTTGATCTTCCCTGAGATTACTCATGTCATTTCACTGGGACTGTTATTTACGATGGCTTCACTCACACATTTGTTGGATAGTGCTGGCGGTTGGCCGGCCTATGTCTATTCATTAAGCTAGCTCTGGCTTCTTCACATGGTTGCTAGATTTTAAAAGTAGAAAGAAGGGCAAACTCCAGTGTGCAAGCACTTTTTAAACCTTTGCATTACGTGGGATAGTTTTGCATTCCTATAAATGTTTTCGAACTCTGCTCTGGGATGCAGTTACATTTATTTGAAATTAGTTCCAGATTTTGATTTTACAGATCATCTGAGGTCAGGAGTTTGAGACCAGCCTGGCCAATATGGTAAAACCCTGTCTCTACTAAAAATACAAACATTAGCTGTGCATGGTGGCGGGCACCTATAATCCCAGCTACTTGGGTGGCCCAGGCTGGAGAATTACTTGAACTCAGGAGGCGGAGGTTGCGGTGACTGGAAATCGTGCTATTGTACTCCAGCCTGGTTGACAAGAGCGAAATTCTGTCTCAAAACAAACAAACAAACAAACAAACAAAAAAAAGATTTTAAGATTTAATAGAGAGTACTGGATCTGTGTTCGCTGTAGGGCTGGTAAGTCCCCATTACTTAGGAAGAACTCTTATGTGTACTTGACCCCATCCTCAA